TTAGAGTTAGACATTTCTCCTATTCTGTGACATATAGTGAAATCCAATGTAGAATATCTTTTGCTTTAACACCAACAACCAAAAACGTAGTGGTGTGGAGATTTTTGTTAAATTTGGAAAAGGCCCAAAATAATCATAAAAACTGGTTACACTTATTGTAACACCATTTTTATTGATTTATATTATTTCTAACCATTTCTACTGTTTTGAAACTTATAATAAAATTCGATATAGAATATTTTTTCAATTGACTTTTATCGCCAAAAATTACATCTTTTGGGAAAATTTGCCATATTTTTGGAAAAGACCCAAAAAGCATAAATAATATTTTGTCTTACAAAAGTATTTTTAAAATGAAATTTTGTCAATAAGCTGAATGGTTTAGAAAATTCTTTACTTCAATAACTCATAGTGAAATTCGATGTAGAAAAATTTTTCCATTGACACCACCTTCCTACAATGACACCTTGTTGGACATTTTGAAAAATACCCAAAAATAATACCAACAAATTGGATATATGATTTTACCAAATTATAAGCATTATTTTATTGCTAAATATTAGAGTAAGAGATTTCTTCTATTCTGTGACTTATAGTGAAATCCAATGTAGAATATATTTTGCTTTAACACCAACAACCAAAAACGTAGTGTTGTAGAGATTATTGTTAAATTTGTAAAAGGCCCAAAATTATAAAAAATTGTTTCACTTTTTTGTAAATATATTTTTATTGATTTATATTATTTCTAACGATTTCTACTGTTTTGAAAGTTATCTTGAAGTTCCGTATAGAATATTTTCTTCAAAGACTTTTACCCCCAAAAATGACATCTTTTGGGAAATTTTGCATATTCTATGCAAAAGACCCAAAAGTGGCATAAATAATATTTTATTTACACAACCATTTTTAAATGAAGTTTTGTCGATAATTTGAAGGTTTTAGGGAATTCTTCCCATCGGTGATTTGAAATTTGGTGTAGAATATTTTTTCCGTAAACACTTATTTCCTTAAATGCCATTTTCTGAGAAATTTTGTCACATTTTGAAATATACCAAAAATAATGCCAAAAAGTGCAATTCCCTTTTTTGAAAATTAAATTTAGTTGAGAAATGATATTTTTACAGATTTCTTCACTTTCATGACTCATAGTAAAATTTGATATAGAAAACGTTCTCCGTTGGGAACAACTCTCTAAAATGGAGTGTTACCAGACATTTGGGCGTAAATTGAGAAATACTACAATAAGGGCAGTAAATATTATACCTAGGGATTTCTTTACCTCCTCGACTTATAGTGAAATTCGATGCAGAATACTTTTTCCATTAACACCAAATCTATAAAATGAAGTTTGAATAGAGTTTTTGCCAAATTTTCTAAAAGACCCAAAAACAATACCGCCATGTGCAACACTAATTTCGAAAATAAAATTTTGTTGATATTGTTTTTACAGATTTCATCACTTCAGTGATTTGTAGTGAAATTTGATGTAGAAAACGTTCTCCATTGGGAACAACTCTCTAAAATGAAGTGTTGCCAGAGATGTGACCATTAATTGGAAAAGACCCATAAAAAATCACCAAAACGGTCATCCCTTATTTTTATGCTGAACTTAAACTAGTTAATGTTATACATAGCGATTTCTTCCCTTCTGTGACTTACATTGGAATTCGGTGTAGAATATTTTTTCCATTAACACTTATTTCCTAAAATGTCATTTTCTAAGAAATTTTGCCACATTTTGAAAAATACGGAAAATAATACAATAAATTGCAATACCCATTTTGAAAATAAAATTTTGTCAATAAATAATATTTTTACAGATTTCTTCACTTCCATGACACATAATAAAAATTGATGTGGAAAACATTCTCCATTGGAATCAACTCTCTAAAATGGAGTGTTGCCAGCGATTTGGCCGTAAATTAGAAAATACCCATAAAAAATCCGCAAAACGATAATTTTTTTATTTTTTGCTGAAATTAAACTAGTTGATATTATACTTAGGGATTTCCTCATTTTGGTGACTCATAGTGAAATTCGATGTAGAATATTTTTTCCATTAACACCAAGCGCATAAAATGATGTTTTGATGCAGTTTTGCCTAAAATTATAAAAGACCCAAAAATAATACCAAAGTTCGTAATACCCATTTTAAAAATAAAATTTTATTGATAAATACTATTTCTGCAGATTTCTTCCCTTCAGTGACTCATAGTAAATTTTGATGTAGAATAATTTTTCCATTAGGACCAACTCTCTAAAATGGCGTATTACCATAGATTTGACTATAAATTTGAAAAGACCCACAAATAATGCCCAAAAAATTATATCTTATTTATATACCGATATTTTAACAGTAAATACTATACATACGGATTTCTTCACTTCGGTAACTTATAGTGAAATTCGATGCAGATTATTTATTTCATTAACATCAACTCTCTAAAATGTGATTTTCTAAGAAATTTTGCCACATTTTAAAAAATACACAAAAAATTATACCAAAAAGTGAAATGTCTTTTTTGAAAACGAAATTTTGATGATAAATAATGTATTTAAAGATTTCTTCACTTCGGTGATTCATAGTAAATTTTAATGTAGAATAATATTTCCATTGGGACCAATCCTCTAAAATTGAGTTTTGCCGTAGGTTTGGCCATAAAATGGAAAATACCCACAAATAATGCCCAAAAAATTATATCTTATTTATATACCGATATTTTAACAGTAAATACTATACATACGGATTTCTTCACTTCGGTAACTTATAGTGAAATTCGATGCAGAATATTTATTCCATTAACATCAACTCTCTAAAATGTGATTTTCTAAGGAATTTTGCCACATTTTGAAAAATACACAAAAAATTATACCAAAAAGTGAAATGTCTTTTTTGAAAACGAAATTTTGATGATAAATAATGTATTTAAAGATTTCTTCACTTCGGTGATTCATAGTAAATTTTAATGTAGAATAATATTTCCATTGGGACCAATCCTCTAAAATTGAGTTTTGCCGTAGGTTTAGCCATAAAATGGAAAATATCCACAAATAACGCCCAAAAAAATAATTTCTTATTTATATACCGATATTTTAACAGTAAATACTATACATACGGATTTCTTCACTTCGGTAACTTATAGTGAAATTCGATGCAGAATATTTATTCCATTAACATCAACTCTCTAAAATGTGATTTTCTAAGGAATTTTGCCACATTTTGAAAAATACACAAAAAATTATACCAAAAAGTGAAATGTCTTTTTTGAAAACGAAATTTTGATGATAAATAATGTATTTAAAGATTTCTTCACTTCGGTGATTCATAGTAAATTTTAATGTAGAATAATATTTCCATTGGGACCAATCCTCTAAAATTGAGTTTTGCCGTAGGTTTAGCCATAAAATGGAAAATATCCACAAATAACGCCCAAAAAAATAATTTCTTATTTATATACCGATATTTTAACAGTAAATACTATACATACGGATTTCTTCACTTCGGTAACTTATAGTGAAATTCGATGCAGAATATTTATTCCATTAACATCAACTCTCTAAAATGTGATTTTCTAAGGAATTTTGCCACATTTTGAAAAATACACAAAAAATTATACCAAAAAGTGAAATGTCTTTTTTGAAAACGAAATTTTGATGATAAATAATGTATTTAAAGATTTCTTCACTTCGGTGATTCATAGTAAATTTTAATGTAGAATAATATTTCCATTGGGACCAATCCTCTAAAATTGAGTTTTGCCGTAGGTTTAGCCATAAAATGGAAAATATCCACAAATAACGCCCAAAAAAATTATTTCTTATTTATATACCGATATTTTAACAGTAAATACTATACATACGGATTTCTTCACTTCGGTAACTTATAGTGAAATTCGATGCAGAATATTTATTCCATTAACATCAACTCTCTAAAATGTGATTTTCTAAGGAATTTTGCCACATTTTGAAAAATACACAAAAAATTATACCAAAAAGTGAAGTGTCTTTATTGAAAATTAAATTTTATTAATAAATAATGTATTCATAGACTTCTTCACTTCGGTGACTCATAGTAAATTTTGATGTAGAATAATTTTTCTATTGGGTCCAACTCTCTTAAATGGAGTATTGCCGTAGATTTGGCCATAAATTGTAAATGACCTACAAATAATCCCCCAAAAAATCGTTGTTTGTATATGTACTGTTATTTCTATAGTATATGTTATAGTTAGCGGTTTCTTCGTTTTGGCGAATTATACTGAAATTTGATGTAGAACATTTTCCCCATTACTACCAAATTTATAAAATGAAGTTTTGATGTTGATTTGGTCATAAATTGAAAAAGAGCCATAAAAAATCCGCAAAACGATAATTTCTTAATTATATACCGACATTTCCATGGGAAACATTATACCTAGCGATTTCTTGAATTTGGTGACCTATAGTGAAATTTGATGCAGAACATTTTTTCTATTGACACGAAATCCATAAAATGAAGTTTTGATGATGATTTGGTCATAAATTGAAAAAGACCCAAAAATAATCCCCAAAACGATCATTCCTTATTTATATACCCACAATTCAATGGGGAACATTATACCTAGCGATTTCTTGATTTAGGTGACCTATAGTGAATTTCGATGTAGAACATTTTTTCTATTAACACCAAATCCATAGAATGAAGTTTTAATGGAGTTTTTGCCAAATTGTGGAAAAGACTCAAAAATAATCACAAATACCCAAAATTAGTTTATTTTTTATCGATAAATAATGTAGCTGACTTTAATATCCTGTTCCAGAACCTGCAGGAATGTAATAATCTTACATAATTGCAAAACTATTGGATTCTTGCAGTTTCTGAAACAGAGCATCATTAAAATTTTGGTAGAATTTTTTTATTTCAAAATTATTTTTTTCGATTATTTTTGATATTTTCAATCTCTCATTTCGTTTTTTTTAATTCTTCATTCTAACATATCCCCCTTATCTTCTTTTTCCAGAAATCCCAGCACCGATATGTTCCTTTTGCGGCTGTTATTGGTCGCCCTTGCCACCGTGGCCATTGGGGTGATGGCATTACCTCAACAAAACTCTGCCTATGATCCAGAATTGGCAAAACTGGTGGATAATGTCTTCAACTCACAGAATCCACAACAACAACAACAGCAACAGCAGCAACAACAACAACAACAGCCCAACCCTACCCGGGCGCCAAGTGGTTTTGCCCAAATTGTTACCCCCGATCCGAATGGTGGTGCCACCATAACCGGTTCCATTAGCGGCAAACAGCTGTGCAACTGTGTACCATATCACATGTGTGACCCATCCTCCAATTCCCAGGTGTCCAATAGTGGCCAAGTGGAGACACCCACCGATGATGTGTCGCTGCTAATTGATATTCGTTTCAATGCCGACGATCCGGTGTGTCCACATTTCCTTGATGTCTGCTGCGACGGGGAAAATACCCGGGATAATAGCATCATGCCCACACCGCAGGAACAAAAACCGAATCGTCCCAAGGGTTGTGGTATACGCAATGTGGGTGGTATTGATTTCAACATCACCGGAGCCTTGGACAATGAGGCCGGTTTTGGTGAATTCCCCTGGACTGTGGCCCTTTTGAATTCGGGCAATTCCAGCTATTTCTGTGCCGGTTCGCTGATACATCCCAGCGTTGTATTGACCGGTGTCCATTGCGTGATCGGTCGTCCTTTGAATAGTTTCAAAATACGTGCCGGCGAATGGGATACCCAAACGACCAAGGAACGTTTGCCTTACCAGGAGACCATGCCAGCCAAGGTGCTGCAGCATCCGCGCTATAATCCCCGCAATGTTGGCAATGATTTTGCTTTGATTATTCTACAGACACCCTTTACGCTGGGTGATCACATCAATGTGGTTTGTTTGCCCCCCGCGAATAGTGTACCTACGGAGGGTACCACCTGCTTCTCCACCGGCTGGGGTAAGGATCAATTTGGTGCCCAAGGAAGATTTAGTGCCATCATGAAACGTCTGCCGTTGCCGATTGTGGAATTCAATCGGTGCCAATCACAATTCCGTACAACTCGATTGGGACCGAATTTTGTGTTGGATCCCTCGTTCATTTGTGCCGGTGGCCAGGTGGGTATTGATACCTGCCAGGGTGATGGTGGTGCTCCGTTGGTGTGTCCCACAGGCCCTCCCTCCGAGAATCGTTATCAACAAAGTGGCCTTGTTGTTTGGGGCATTGGCTGCAATGATCCCATTCCGGCAGCTTATGCTCACATTGGATTGGCTCGCAGCTGGATCGATGAACAAATGTATGCCCACAATTTCGATACCACTTCGTATAGCGTTTTTTAAATGAGAGAATTTAAAAAAAATGAATAAAATTGAGATTGAAAAATGTTCCATTTCTTTTCAAATAAAAGACTAACAGAGCTGAGAATCCGTACATTTTTTGGAATATTTTTGGAATATTTTTTGAAAAAAAGTAAAAAAGCAGCTGAGTTCGACTGGGCCCAATTTTGAATACCCTGCTCCATTTGGAACGAATTTGAATATTTTCAAAAAAATAAAATTCGCTAAAATTTTTGAGAAAATCTTAAAAATACGGAAACAGGCGGTTATATTGGGATCTATACGAAGACGTGGACCTGCATAGACTATTTTCTGTCACAGGCTGTAGTACCTATCAGGAACTTCAAATACGAAGTTTCAGACAATTTCGGCGAATGTCGAACCTAAAATCTTCAAAATACCGAATATAGGGGGGTATTGATATATGGGACCTACACGAAGACCTAGACCTCCGTAGACAATTTTCTGGTATAGGATGTGGTATCCATTATAAATTTTAAATACGAAGTTTGAAACAACTCCGATGAATAGTGTCGCTAAAATCTTCAAAATACCGAAAATTGGGAGGTACTATTATATGGTGGCTATACGAACACCTGGACCTGCATAGACAAATCTCTATCATAGGCTGTAGTTTTCATTACGAACTTCAAATACCAAATTTGAAACAATTCTGGTGAATAATGTCGCTTAAATCACCAAAATACCGAATATAGGGAGGTACCTTTATATGGAGACTATACGAAGACGTGGACCTGTATATACTATTTTCTGTCATAGGCTGTAATATCCATTACGAACTCTAAATACCAAATTTGAAACAACTCCGGTGAATAATGTCGCTAAAATCATCAAAACACCGAATATTGGGTGGTACACTTATATGGAGGCTATACGAAGACCTGGACCTATATACGCTAGTTTTTGTCATAGACTGTAGTACCCATTAGGAACTATAAATACCAAATTTGAAACAACTACGGTGGATAATGTCGCTAAATTCTTCAAAATACCGAATATTGGGAGGTACGGTTATATGGAGACTATACGAAGACGTGGACCTATATAGACAATTTTCTATCACAGGCTGTAGTACCTATTACGAACTTCAAATACCAAATTTGAAACAATTCCGGTAAATAATGTCGCTAAAATCATCAAAATACCGAATATTGGGAGGTACGGTTATATGGAGTCTATACGAAGACCTAGACCTGCATAGACAATTTTCTGCCAAAGGTTGTAGCTCTTATTATGAACTTCAAATACCAAATTTGAAACAATTTCGGTAAATAATGTCGCTTAAATCATCAAAATACCGAATATTGGGAGGTAACCTAATATGGAGGCTATACGAAGACCTGGACCTGCATGCGCAATTTTTTGTCATAGGCTGTAGTACCTATTAGGAACTTCAAATACCAAATTTGAAACAATTCAGGCGAATAATGTCCCTAAAATTGTCAAAATGCCGTATATTGCGAGGTACCCTTATATGAAAGCTATACGAAGTCCTGGACCTGCATAGACAAGTTTCTGGCACAGGGTGTAGTACCTATCAGGAACTTCAAGTACGAAATTTCAAACAATTTCGGTGAATAATATCGTTAAAATCATCAAAATACCGAATATTGGGAGGTACCCTTTTATGAAGGCTATACGAAGACCTGGGCCTCAATTCTTGTTCTATGAAAATGTGAAATGAAAACTTTTATGAAGGAAAGAAATGTGAAAGGAAAAATTTTATAAAGGAAATATTTTTCATTTCATATTTTCATAGAACAAGAATCCAGCCCCTGGACCTACACAGACAATTTTCTGCCTTAGGCTGCAGTATCCATTATGTACTTCAAATACCAAATTTCAAACAATTCCGGTAAATAATGTCGCCAAAATCATCAAAATACCGAATATAGGGAGGTACTGATATATGGGGCCTATACGAAGACTTGGACCGGCATAGACAATTTTCTCTCATAGGCTGTAGTATCCATTACGAACTTCAAATACGAAATTTGAAACAATTCCGGTTAATAATGATGTTAAAATCATCAAAATACCGAATATTGGGAGGTACTGATATATGGGGCCCATATGAAGACCTGGACCTGCATAGACAATTTTCTGTTACAGGCTGTAGTATCTGTTGCGAACTTCAAATATTGAATTTGAAACAATTTAGGTGAATAATGTCGCTAAAATCGTCAAAATACCGAATATTGGGGGTACCCTTATATGAAGGCTATACGAAGACCTGGACCTGCATAGACAATTTTCTGGCACAGGGTGTAGTTCCCATTACAAACTCTAAATACGAAAATTGTAACAATTCCGGTTAATAATGTCGCTAAAATCATCAAAATACCGAATATCGGTGGGTACCGTTGTATGGGGGCTATACGATATTGTGGACCTATATAGACAATTCTCTTCCAAGGGGCAAAGTACCCACAAAGGACTTCTTGTATAGAATTTCAGACAATTCCATTAAAAAATGTGACTAAAATCATAAAAATAACGAATATCGTGGGGTACCTTTATATGGGGGCTTTCCGATAACGTGGACCTATATAGATAATTCTCTTCCAGGGGGTGAAATACTCACAGAGAACTCCTTGTGTAGAGTTTCGAGCAATTCCATGTGGATGAGATCATAAAAATAACGAATATCGTGGGGTACCGTTATATGGGGGCTATACGCTATCGTGGACCGATATAGTCCATCTTAGAACTTGATCTGCCTGAATTTTTGAAAATAATTTAATGATCCCTTAAAAGTGGATTTTAAAACATTTTTCTTCAATAATGGTTTTTTGGTTTTAAAATTAACAAAAATATTTTTCAATAATTTTTTGTTTTTTTTTTGTTTTAAAATTCAAAAAAAAAATCTTTTTTTTCAATATTTTTTTTTTTTTTTGTTTTCAAAATTCCTTATTTTATTTTTTTTTTATTTTCTTCTCAAATATATAAAAAAAAAATTAACAACTAGACTATGAAAAAAACCCCGTTAATCCTCCTTCAAATGATATTCAAATTCATTTTCGCCACCGCTGCGATTAAAAATGCTCACATATGCCCAGGTGGTGCCAAATTTCAAAATCGCCAGATACGGCAAGTATTCAATTAGCAGTTCATTTAACCACGCCCGGAAATTCAAATAACAACGAACAATGTCGAATTTGTGCAGATATGTGATTAGGATGAGGGCATAGAAGACAATGAAACGATCGATCCAACTCAGGTCCTTGTAGTACAAATGTTGTTGGGGATCGGGTTTCCGCCAGGGGGGATAGTCAAATTTGAAATATTCATAACCTTTGACATAGCATAGGCGTTTGGTGAAATAGACAAATGAACCAACGGTCAGTGTGGTGTTGATGTGCCACAGGCCTTCTAGCAGGGCCTTGGACATTTCTTTAAATTCCTCTGAGGGATTTTCCAGGGCCGGTTCGTAGACTTTACGCATGACAATGGAGAGGCGTAATTTCGTCTCCAGCCAATTACGTCCGCAAATATTGTATTCATCTTTGATGCCGAGTAGGTAACCCAAAACACGCCACATGTGGGATGTTGCCTCCAGGAAGTGTTCGTCATCCAATTGGATGCGATGGGCCCCCAAAGATAGGAATCCAATAAATCCAAACTGGGTGAGAGCCAAATCTTTTTGTGTTATTTGTCCCGCCCCCAGTTTAGCACAGGCTCGACTTGATCTTGAATGGGCCTTGCGCACCGCTCTCAGGCTAGTCCAAAAACGGGAGGATTTGTCAGATGCTGAATATTTATACCAGGAATTTGTGTGCAGTAGGGTTCGTACATATCGGCGATAGGCTGTGGCGGGACTCGATGATTGCCGGGTGCATATGAGGACTTTGAGAATGGATGGTATGGCCAGAACGGCCACTAAGCCGGATAACATGCCCGATTGTATGACAAATCTGTATTTGTTCATGAAACTTTGACCCCTGAAAGAGAAAAAATGGAAAAAATTATTTAAAAAAATTAAAAATTAATAAAAAAATAAAATTAAAAAAAAATAAAAAGATATTAAAAAAAATTAAAAGATATTAAAAAAAATTAAATTATTTAAATTAAATTAAAAAAAATAAAAATTAAAAAAAATAAATTAAAAAAATTAAAAAGAAATAAAAATTAAAAAAAAAATAATTAAATTAAAAATTAATTAACAAAAATTATATACACAAAAAAATAAAATTAATTAAATTAAATTAAAAAAATAAAAATTAAAAAAAAAATAATTTAAAAAAATTAAAAAGAAATAAAAATTAAAAAAAAATTAATTAAATTAAAAATTAATTAAGAAAAATTATATACACAAAAAAGAAGATATTAAAAAAAATAAAATTAATTAAATTAATTTAAAAAAATAAAAATTAAATATAAAAAAAAATTAAAAATTAAAAAAAAAAATTAAAAATTAAAAAAAATTAATTAAATTAAATTAAAAATTAATTTAAAAAAAAATTATATAAATATTTCAATACACCCCATTACACTCGTTGATTTGAACTGAGCTGTACAGATGTGCCTGTGTGTGTGGGTGGGTATTAAGAGAATGTGTTTATACCCTCCACCATAGCTGCTAGTATGGAGGGTATATTAAGTTCGTCATTCCATTTGTAACTCATCGAAATAATAATTTTAGACCCAGCAAAGTATACATATTCTTGATCAGCGTAAAATTCTAAGACAATTTAGCCCTGTCGATAGGTCCGCCTGTTCGTTCGTGTGTCTGTCTGTTATAATAACGCTAGAGTCAAAACGAATAAAGATAGGCAGCTAAATTTTTGCACAGATCAGTCTTTTGTCTGCAGGCAGGTCAAGTTCGAAGATTGACTATATCGGTCCACCATATCGTGGCCCCCATACAACAGTACCCCACGATATTCGGAATTTTGATGATTGTAGCCACATTTTTTTAATGGAATTGTCTGAAATTTTACACAAGGAGCCCTTTGTGGGTGCTTTGTCCCCTGGAAGAGTATTGTCTATATGGGTCCACGATATCGTATAGCTCCCATATAACGGTACCCCCCATATTCGGTATTTTGATGATGGTAGCTACATTTTTCAATGGAATTGTCTGAAAATCCACCAAAGGAGTTCCTTCTGAGTACTTTACCGCCTGGAAGAGTATTGTCTATATGGGTCCGCGATATCGTATAGCCCGCATGTAACGGTTCCTCCCGATATTCGGTATTTTGATGATTGCAGCCAAAGTTTTTAATGGAATTGTCTGAAATTCTACACAAGAAGTACTTTGTGGGTACTTTATCCCCCGGAAGAGAATTGTCCATATAGGTCCACGATATCGCATAGCCCCCATATAACGGTACCTCCCGATATTCGATGTTTTAATGATTATAGCCAAAATTTTCAATGGAATTGTCTGAAAATCCACAAAAGGAGTTCCTTCTGAGTACCTTACCCCCTGGAAGTGAATTGTCTATATAGGTTCACGATAGCGTATAGTCCCCATACAACGGTACCCCCGATATTCGGTATTTAGATGATTTTATCGACATTATTCACCGGAATTGTTTCAAATTTGGTATTTAAAGTTCGTAATGGGTACTACAGCCTGTGACAGAAAATTGTCTATGCAGGTCCAGGTCTTCGTGTAGGCCCCATATATCAGTACCTCCCAATATTCGGTATTTTGAAGATTTTAGTTTCAATATTTAGCGAAATTGTTTGAAATTTCGTTTTTGAAGTTCCTGATAGGTACTACAGCCTATGCCAGAAAATTGTCTATGCAGGGTCAGGTCTTCGTATAGCCCCCATATAGAGGTACCCCCCGATATTCGGTATTTTGAGGATTTTAGCGACATTATTCACCGGAGTTGTTTCAAATTTTGTACTTAGAGTTCGTTATAGGAGCTACACCCTATGCCAGAAAATTGTCAATGCTGGTCCAGGTCTTCATATAGGCCCCATATATCAGTACTTCCCAATATTCGGAATTTTGACGATTTTAGGAACAATATTCAACGAAATTGTTTGAAATTTCGTATTTGAAGTTAGTAAAAGGTACTACATCCTGTGACGAAAAATTGGGTATGACGGCCCACGTCTTCGTATAGACTCCATAAAACGATACCCCCCGAAATCGGTATTTTGATGATTTTAGCGACATTATTCACCGATGTTGTTTCTAATTTCGTATTTAGAGTTCGTAATGGGAACTACACCCTCTGCCAGAAAATTATGTATGCAGGTCCAGGTGTTCGTATAGGTCCCATATAAATGTACCTCCTAATATTCGGTATTTTGACGATTTAAGGTACAATATTCACCGAAATTGTTTAAAATTTCCTATTTATAGTTCGTAATGGGAACTACACCCAATACCAGAAAATTGTCTTCGTATAGGTCTCATATATCAGTACCTCCCTGCATTCGGTATTTTGATGATTTTAGCGACATTATTCACCGAAATTGTTTAAAATTTCATATTTGAAGTTCCTAATAGGTACTACACCCTATGCCACAAAATTGCATATGCAGGCCCACGTCTTCGTATATGCCTCATATATCAGAACCTCTCTATATTCGGTATTTTGAAGATTTTAGGTACAACATTTACCGAAATTGTTTGAAATTTCGTTCTTAAAGTTCCTGATAGGTACTACAGCCTACGCCAGAAAATTGTCTATGTAGGCCTAGATCTTCCTATAGGACCCATATATCAGTACCTCCCGATATTCGGTATTTTAACGATTTAAGGAACATTATTTCCCGGAATTGTTTCAAATTTCGTATTTAGAGTTCCTAATGGGAACTACACTCTAAGCGAAAAAATTGTCTATACAGGCCCACGTCTTCGTATAGGCACCATATATCAGTACCTCCCTATATTCGGTATTTTGATGATTTTAGCGACATTATTCACCGAAATTGTTTAAAATTCATATTTGAACTTCGTGATAGGTACTACAGCCTATGGCAGAAAATTGTCTATACAGGCCCAGGTCTTCCTATAGGCCCCATATAACGATACCCCCCATATTCGGTATTTTGATGACTTTAGCGACATTATTCACCGGAAATGTTTCAAATTTGGTATTTGAAGTTCTTGGTACGTACTACAACCTACGACAAAAAATTGCGTATGCAGGTCTTCGTATGGGCCCCATATAACCGTACCTCCCAATATTCGATATTTTGACGATTTTAGGTACATTATTCATCGGATTTTTTTTCATATTTCGTATTTGAATATTGTAATAGCTTATGACAGAATGTTGCCTATGTAGTACCACGTCGTCGTATAGTCCCCAATATAACGGCTATATTCGGTATGTGTAAGATTTTAACAACATTTTTAACGGATTTAATTGTTTTTCTGAAAATTTACAAATTCGTTCCCAATGGTGGAGGGTATTCAAGGTTCGGTCCGACCGAACTTACTGCTTTTCTACTTGTTTTTATCAATCTATTTTATACTGTAACCTGACAAGCTAATATATATGAATAGTAAATTTAAAATGAGGAGGGGAGGAGAGGAGGTGGTGTAGTATTACTTACTGTTTGAACAAATGCTCATCATACCAGGGTGGCAATTCCATTTCATAACCACTGTCCCCCTCATTGCATCCATTCTCCAGTAGATGTTTCAAATAAGCTTCAGCTTCTGGCTGTTCCTCGATCGCCGTTTCTGCATCGCCATTCAAGCATGTCACTCGTTTGTTTTGATTATTGTCGATCGCATTGCACTTTTCCCCAGCTGTAGGCGATAAAAATGTGAAGCATTTCGATTTTATTGTCACTTGTTATAATTATCGGTTGAAATGATAATGAGGGGCAATAAAACATATAGTTTTCTTTCTTTTTTTTTGCGATGGATGATCATCAAGGGATCGTGTTGTCAAAGTCCAAACAAACACTTGCGGATTTATTCGGATTAACTATTTTCTATATTACGAATGTATTTCCTAATGGCCAATCTGTCATGGAACATTGTAGATAATTTATGAAGATGAAATAATTGGCGTATATTAAAAAATAATTATTTTGGGTGGAGATTTTTCTATGGTCCAGCAGGCGTAGAGAGATCTCAGTTTCCAGTTCTTTGATAAAGCGACCCAGTTCCATTTTTATATCCTCAGCAATATGGATAGAGAGGGTATATATCATTTGATGCTGCCAAAACGTGATTCATTGAAATAACGGTTTTAGACCCTAGGTCTCTTTGGATAAAATCAGTTTCAGGACATTTGTAGTCGATCTAGCGATGTCCATCTGCCTGTCTGGCTGTTTGGTGCATACGATAGCTCTCGAAGGGAGTATCCGATTTTATCCAAACTTGGTACATCGTAATATTATTATAAAACTAAGTTTCAGTCCGGAGATGAGTAATTTCGGTCCACTCCTTCGGATACCTCCCACACAAAATGTCAACATATTCAAAGAAAATATTTTACTGCACAGAAGGAGAAAGGATATTCCGATTTGGCTCCAACTTTGCAAGTCCTAATATTTGCATCAGCGCTAGGTAATGTGTGAAAATGGACAATATCGGTCTACTCCATCAAATAGCTCCCCCACAAAGGGTCAAAATTTGGAATAATTATAACTCTTATAAAATGTGATGTAACGGTCCGATTGTCTTCAAATTACACACATCACAATATTTTTATTAACCTGAGGTCTGGTGTGAAGATGAAATATATCGGTCTACTCCTTCTGGTACCTCCCCCACAAAATGTCGAAATTTTCAAAAAAAAAAAAAAAAACACATATCTTCTGCACAGAAAGAGAAAGGATAATCCAATTTTGCTGCAACTTTGCAAATCCTAATATCTGCATCAGTGCTAGGTCAGGTGCGAAAATGAAAAATATCGGTCCACTCCAACAAGTACCTCCCCCACAAGGGGTCAAAATTTTGAATAACTACAACTATTAAAAAATGTGTTGTAGAAGTCCGATTGTCTTCAAATTATCCACATTACAATATTTTTAATAACTCAAGGAGTGGTGCGAAGAAGGAATACATCGGTCCACTCCTTCTGGTACCTCTCCCACAAAGGGTCAAAATTTTGAATATTCACGAAGCTCATAAAACGAGAAATTAATCTCCGGTTCCATTCAGACTTGGTACATCCCAATATTTCTATTAACACAAGCTCAGTTGTAAAAATGGTAGAGATCGGACTATTATTTCTGGTACCTCCCCCACAAAGGGTCATAATTTTGAATAGCCATGAAGTTCATAAAACACGTAATTAACATCCGATTCCATTCAGACTTGGCACATTTCAATATTTCCATCAGCCCCCAATCTGTTATAAAGATAGAAGAGATCGGACCATTCCTTCTGGTACCTCCCCCACAAAGGTTTGAAGTTTTGAATATCCAAAATGATTATAAAATCTGAAATAAGCATTCCATACTCTTGCTATTTTACACATCCCATTTTTTCTACTAACACAAGATTTGCTATGAAGATGGGATATGTCGGTCCACTCCTTCGTATACCTCCCCCACAAAGGGTCAACATTTTGAATATTCATGAAGCTCATAAAACACTAGAAATTAACATCCGATTCCATTCAGACTTGGTAAATCTCAATATTTCCATCAACACAAGATCTGTTGTAAATATGGTAGAGATCGGACCACTTCTTCTGGTACCTCCCCCACAAAGGGTCGAAGTTTTGAATAACCAAAACTGTTATAAAATCCGAAATAAGCATCCGGTTCTCTTCATATATCACACATCCCATTATTTCTAACAGCACAATATATGCTGTGAAGATGGGATATATCGGTCCACTCCTTCTGGTACCTCCCCCACAAAGGGTCAAAATTTTGAATATCATTGAGGCTCATAAAACGCGAAAATAACGTCCAATATCATTTAGACTTGGTACATCTCAATATTTCCATCAACACAAGATCTGTTGTAAATATGGTAGAGATCGGACCACTCCTTCTGGTACCTCTCCCACAATGGGTCGAAGTTTTGAATAACCAAAACGATAATAAAATCCGAAATAAGAATCCGATTCTCTTCATATAACACACATCTCATTATTTCTACCAGCACAAGATCTGCTATGAAGATGGGATATATCGGTCCACTCCTTCTGGTACCTTCCTCACAAAGGATCAAAATTTTGAATATCCATGAAATTCACAAAACACGAAATTAACATCAGATTCCATTCAGACTTGGCATATCTCAATATTTCCATGAAAATAAGATCTGTTGTAAAGATAGTAGAGATCGGACCATTTCTTCTGGTACCTCCCCACAAAGCTTTCAATTTTTTTGAAAAACAAAACGCTCAAAGAAAGCCAAATAAGCATCCAAATCTGTTCAAATTTCAAACATATAACGTTTTTGTTAACACAAGATCTGTTGTGAAAATGATATGTATCTGCCAATCCCTTCTGGTACCTCACCCACAAAGGGCAACAATTTTCAATACTTTTATCTGTCATAACTTGCGAAACAAGTCGGCGATTCTATACAACTTGCTATATCTAAATATTTTTCTCAACCAGAAACCTAAGATGAATATGGAATTTATCGGAATTTATGATTTCGTATAAAATTGGATATAAATGTTCGATTTTCTTTTAATTTTGCCCATATCAATATTTTTATCTGTATTAGATGAAGTATGAAAATGGAATACTTCGGTCGACTATATCTGGTACTTCACGCACATTTTGACATTTCCTAAAAACATTTCCTAAATATCTCATATAAAGTGAAGGAAGTCGTCGATATATTACAAACTTGGCACGTCACAATATTTATATCATATTTATTTAGGTCCGATGCGAAATGGGCAATATTGGCCTATTCCCCCGGAGCCTTCACCATTTAGGATCAACAAATTAAAAAAAAAAAAAAAAAAAACTTAAAATAATCCAACTTTGGCTGGCTTTTTAACTTTTTAAAATACCATTCTCTTAAGTGTTATCGATTAATCCTCTCGAAATGCTTGAATTCCCCCCATTTCAATGCCAACTGCCACTCTGCATTCTTGTTTGTTTTGATTCTCGGCCAAAGAGAAAGTTTTCACACGTTGGGATGAACACACAAACACACCAATGTAAACTGTGTGTGGCAGCAGCATTACATTTATTTTTTGGGAGGCCACTCTCTCTCTCTATTGGCATGGTAAACATTCCAATTTGATTTTTGTTGTTGTTCTTCTTCTTCGTTACCATTCATTATCATGATTTCTATTTATTTTTGAGCTAATTTTCCTTTTTTTTGCAATTGTCAGTCAGGCATGCCTTCGAAAAATATATTTTGTGCTCTCAGTCACGCAAATAAAACTCGCCCCTCACCGAGCAATTCGTATACGCTTACCCGTGTTGTTATTTTCATAATTTATATCCATGTCCATGGCTTTGCATTTATCCATTGTAGCTGTATCATCCGTTGTAGTGCACCCAGACTTGAATTAAATTACATTCGATTACAGCAGCAGAGAAGATGAAACGGAAATCGTTAGCACCTCGCAGTTTACATAACCCAAGCCCCAACCGACAATTCAAAACCCTTTTTAAACGATTGTCTTGTTAATCTTCTTTGTAAACAATAAACGAGATAGTAAAGTTGCGCAAAGCTTAGTTGCCGCCGTTTTTCCCGAAATGCCCAACCGTCGTTCACCAAAGATAGTAATGCACTAAGGCACACACACAGGTGGAGCAGCAGAAAACATTGAGAACACACCACAGAGCCCACCATGCCACAGACTTTCACTCACCACTCTGTTGTTGCCATTGATGTGGTCAATGTTAGTTAACATCAGACACAATGTTAATAACAGCAAAGAAATACGACATAAAGACGGGTATTTCTGTGGCTCTTTTCAAGAGAGGAGTAATTTAATGGAGTTGAACAGAAGAAGAAAAACTGACAACACGAGTGGATTTGATCTCTGAATAGTTTTTCTTTATATGTGTTTCCTTTAAATTTTTTCCGAAGCAGATGGCCAATATTGATTAATTGTTATCTGACCTAAGAATGATAAAAATATTACAACGTGACAGATTTGGACTATATCGATATAAGATATGTGCAAATTTTTGGAAAATATGCGTGGTAACAGATGTAGCGGACCGAAGTATTCCATTTTCATACTCCATCTAATATAGATTAAAATACAGGTATGGGCAAAATTACAGGAAAATCAAACATTTATATCCATTTTTATGCGAAATCATAAATTCCGATAAATTCCATATTCATCTCAGGTTTCTGGTTGAGAGAAATATTTGGATATAGCAAGTTGTAAAGAATCGCCGACTTTTTCCGCAAGTTATGACAGATGATAGTATTGCGGATTGTGGGTGAGTTACCAGAGTGTGTTCGCAGATATATATCATCTTCACAACAGATCTTGTGTTAGCCAAAATGTTTGTATGTGTGACATTTAAAGAGAGTTGGATGCTTATCTCACTTTCTTTGAGCGTTTAATTCTTCAAAACCTTAAACCCTATGTGGGGGAGGTACCAGAAGTAATGGTCCGATCTCTATCATGTTTATAACAGATCTTGTTTTGATGGATATATTGAGATATACCAAGTCTGAATGAAATCGGATGTTAATTTCGCGTACCAGAAGAAGTGGTCCAATACCTACCACCTTTATAACATATTTTGTGTTTATGCAAATATTGAGATGTACCAAGTCTGAATCAAATCGGATGTTAATTTCGTGTTTTATGAGGTTCATGATTTTTCAAAATTTTTCACCCTTTGTGGGGAAGGTGGGGAAGGGTTAATAAAAATATTGGGATGTGTGCAATTTGAATACAATCGGACTCTTACGTCACATTTCATAATAGTTGTAATAATTCAAAAATTGTACCCTTTGTGGGGGAGGTACCTGATGAAGTCGACCGATATTGTCTATTTTCGCACCTGACGTAGCACTCACGCAAATATTCGGATTTGCAAAAACTTCTCTTTCTGTGCAAAAAAATATTTTTTTTAAATTTTCGACCGGGAAGATACCAGAAGGAGCGGACCGATATATTCCACTTTAACACCAGACCTTGGGTTAATAAAAATATTGGGATGTGTGAAATTTGATGACAATCGGACTCTTACATCACTTTTTATAAGAGATGTAATTATTCAAAATGTTGACCGTTTATGGGAGAGTTACTTGATGGAGTGGGCCGATAATGTCCATTTTCGTACCTGAAGTAGCACTCACGCAAATATTAGAAAATATATTTTTGAAATATTTCGACCTTTTGTGTGGAAGGTACCAAAAGGAGTGGACCGATATTGACCATCTCCGAACTCGATTTAAGTTTGATAATAATATTACGATGTACCATGTTTGGACAAAATCGGATACTCCCTTCGAGAGTTATCGTGCGCACCAGCCAGACAGACGGACGAACGGACGAATATCGCTAAATCGACTCCAAATATCCTAAAACGGATTTTGTCCATAGAGACTTGAGCCTCGTTTTGGCCGTATCAAATGATATATACCCTCTCTAGCCATGTGGCTGAGGGTATAATGATAAGTAGTTAATGATAACATAATGTTTTTTTCAACCAATTTAACTGTTTTAAATAAATTGTTCATTTGTTGAACAGCTACCAGTTTCATTGTATTATGAATTGTAAATTTGTAATGTAAACAAAAATAACATAACATTTATTGGCACTGTAAAATCCACCATATTCTTTGCCTCTGTAGTTGGCAACACTTGTAATTGCATGTGCCTGAAAGTATGCTACGAATATGTGACAATGAAATGGAACAATTGATACGTTTACACAGAACATCGTGATTTGTAATTGCATTTGTTGTTAACACTTGGGAATAAAGAAATAGAGAATATGGAGAATAAAATATTAAGTTCGCCATTCCGTTTGGAAATAAGCATTTTAGACATTTTAAGGATTTATGTCACATTTTTCATCGGAATTTTATCAAATTTGATATTTACAGTTCGTATTGAATACTACTTTTGCTGACAGAAAATTGCTTATACAGATCGACATCTTCGAACAACTTCGATAGGAGGGTACCTCCCTATATTTGGTATTTTAATGATTTCAGCTAAACAACAAAATTTCGGTATTTTAATGATTTTTAGCTGCATTTTTCAAATGAATTATTTCAAACTTGTTATTTGCAGTTCGTAATAGGCGCTGCCTTTTCTAGAATATATGTCCACTTTTTCTTATAGTCCCATATAAATATAACACCTGATATTCAGAAGGAAAATAAAGAAAAAAAATCATTTTACAACGGACTTTTTAACACATTGAGAATTCCTTCCTTCCAAATGGTAGAGGGTATTAAGTGTTTGTCCCGGCCGAACTTAGCCGCTTTTTTACTTTACCGTTTTTGTTTGGTTAAGGCTTTCTGTATGGTCAAGGCCATATAAAAATGACTCTAAACAAAGTTTGACTGAGAATATAACATTTTTTTGGAATTGTAATATACCAACCGAATATTAACAAACCCACTGAGAATTTTCCTCTCACCGCAGATTGACTGTTGCAGAGTGAAACTTTAAGCAAATTTTCAGGGCATCCGAAAAATACATACATTTGTCAAAAATTATTTTTTACCCCAATATTGATGATATTATTTTTTGGCATCTATTAAATTTACACACTCCATTTGCTCAGAGACACATAATGAAATTCGGTGTAGAATATTTCTCCCTTTGACACTTTTTCTAAAATGTCGAAGTATTATCGAAGATTTTGACTCAGATTTGAAACGGATAAAATTAATAGTCAAAAACGTACCATAAAATTTTTTCTTGTAATATAAATTTCGAATATAATTTTCATAAAAACTATTTTACCTAGATGTGTAGTTTCTTTTGAGACTTATAGTGAAATTTGATGGAGAATATTTCATCTTTTGATACTTTTTATCTACAACGAAGTTTTATGCTACTATCATGCATCAAATCCAAAAGGGACCGAAGAAACATCCATGAAAAATAGGAAATATTTTTGCGTTATTTTTAGCAAAATTTAAATAACAATTTTCTTGATATAGAATAGAAACAGAGATTTCTTTTCTTTGGTAACTTATTGTGAAATTTGATGAAGAACATTCTTGTCTTCGAAGTCATCTTTCTTCAATGATGTTTTGTGGGAGAATTTTGTATAAACTCATAGCCGTTAAAAATAACTTATCACATAATCATTACTTTTAATGCATATAAAATTCCAATGTAATTTTCTCAAAAACTATTATACCTAGATGCACGGGTTCTTCTGAGACATTTACTGAAATTTTATGTAGAATATATCCTCTTTTGCAATATTTTGTCTAAAACGAAGTTTTATGTCAGTTTCATTCATTAACTCGGAGAAGAATATAATTAAATCGATGAAAAAATAGGATATATTTTCTTTTTTTTTTACGACAAAATTGAATTGAATATTTTCTCAATATTAATTAAATAAAGAGATTTTTTGTTTTTGGTGACTTATAGTGAAATTTGAGGGAGAACATATTTCTCTTTGACGTAATCCATTAAAAATGAAGTTTTGTGTGCGAATTTTGCAGAAACTCATAGCCGTTAAAAATCTCATCACATAATTATCACTTGTAGTACATATATAATTCCAACGTAATTTTCTCGAAAACTATTATACCCAGATGTATAGGTTATTCTGAGACTTATAGTGAAATTCGATGTAGAATATATCCCCCTTTGCAATATTTTGTCTAAAATGAATTTTTATGTTACTTTCATGCATCAAAACGAAAAAGGGCTGAGGACAAATCCATGAAAATAAAAACGAAATATTTGTGACTTTTTTGACAAAAATGAAATGAATATTTTCTTGATATTAAATAAATATAGAGATTTCTTGTCTTTTGTGACTTAGAGTGAAATTTGATGGAGAATATTTTTGTCTTTGACGTCATCATTCTAACATGAGGTTTTATTTTACTTCCAAGTATCAACTCGAAAAAGGATGGAAGTAAAATCTATAAAAAAACTGGAAATATTTTCCTGTTCTTTTACGACAAAATTGAATTTTATATTTTCTCAATATTAAATAAATATAGAGATTTCTTGTCTTTGGTGACTTATAGTGAAATTTGATGGAAAATATTTTTATCTTTGACGTCATTCCTCTAAAATGAGGTTTTATGTTACTTCCAAGTATCAACTCGAAAAAGGATGGAAGTAAAATCTATCAAAAAACTGGAAATATTTTCATGTTCTTTTACGACAAAATTGAATCGAATATTTTCTCGATATTAAATAAATATAGAGATTTCTTGTCTTTAGTGACTTATAGTGAAATTTGATGGAGAATATTTTTATCTTTGACGTCATTCCTCTAAAATGAGGTTTTATGTTACTTCCAAGTATCAACTCGAAAAAGGATGGAAGTAAAATCTATCAAAAAACTGGAAATATTTTCATGTTCTTTTACGACAAAATTGAATCGAATATTTTCTCGATATTAAATAAATATAGAGATTTCTTGTCTTTAGTGACTTATAGTGAAATTTGATGGAGAATATTTTTATCTTTGACGTCATCCCTCTAAAATGAGGTTTTATGTTACTTCCAAGTATCAACTCGAAAAAGGATGGAAGTAAAATCTATTAAAAAACTGGAAATATTTTCCTGTTCTTTTACGACAAAATTGAATTGAATATTTTCTCAATATTAAATAAAT